CTTATGCAAATCAAGGTTATTTTCAAATGATATTTTATTATTTTAATTCAAACAACACCAGTCCATAAGCGATCAGTTACACTTTCTTTACTTATCATGAACCCGACGCGGCTTCGCTTGATTAGCAAACATTATGTCTACATTTTTTTCTGTTATACTTACAAATCAGCTTGTCCATGAAGAAGGTTTCAGTTTTTACAAAATCATTCTATTGGAGATATAAGGGCTAGACTGAGAAGTGTATATAGCAGCCTAGAACATTTGAGAGTATCTGAGAGCATCCCGCAACATTCCAGATCACTTCCAAATAATCTGGAATGCATTGTAATACTCGGGAATAATCTGGAACGTTCGGAAACATTTCTGATCATTTGTGAAGAGACAAATGGAAATATACGTTGCAATCATTTTTGCCTTTTACAAATTTCTAGACCAATCTAAACATTACGAAGTATTGGATAGTATTCCACAATATTACAGAACATCCCGGAAATATTCTGGCATGTACGGGAATAGTCTGGAACTTCCCAAATTATTGTGGAAAATTCCACAACAGACTCAAATGCTGAGAAATGTTCTTGTCTAAAACATTGTGGCTCTATCCTATACCAATATTGATAGGAGTATATAAAGCAAAATTCATCGACTTCTTGTGATTGGAGGTACATTTTTTCATTCCTGCACCGCACTACTAGACAGTCTCATTTCAACTCTCTCGGCGAAGCCGGATACCCCAGTGACTAGTAACTTATAATAATGACCATCGACAAATTCACTCAAACAAAAGCATGTTCACAACCATCAATTTAAATTTCGAACATACCATTTTGAAGACAACACAAAACAAAAATGTGACTCAAACCTTTAAAATTTAAAAATGCAACGTTGTTCATTAAGACGTGTCGCTTCCATTTGTCAGGCCGCGGCCGGCCGGGCCGGGACTGCGATGCAAAATATTATGGACAGACAAAAAGATCTATCGATGTGAGATATAAGGATCACATAGCACACTTAAAATATGGAAAACCTGAAAAATCAGCAGTCGTCCATCATATTTTGCAAAAAAAAACATTCCATAGACTTCAGTTCATTAAGATTAGTTAGACAAGTTAACAACAACAGGCAACTAGATGCCTATGAGAGTGTAGAAATAAGTAAACATAATACTATGAATAACGATGACGGACCAATACCAAATAGCATACTATATAGCTTGTTAATGGGTTATATACCTGTATGGTTTACCTGTATATATCTGTATAGCATACATAGCTTTAGTTTCGCGAAGTTTCCAGTTTTATCTCTCTCTTGAAGCTGATCACTTGGTGATCGAAACACGTCTCGAGGTGTTAAAAATAAAGATTTGGTATTCGGAAAAAACTCCAGTGGTATTCAATGAGTTTCTTATGAATATTTTTGTTAATCTAATAGAGTTGCATAGTCATGCTTTGACATCGACCGCTGAACAAAATTCGTCCTCTGTTTTTCTCTGCAGCTAAAGCAGAAGAAAATTTGCTGGAGTGTAGTTGTAGGTAAACTGCGAAGTTCATTCCGAAAAGTTACTGCGTAATATAAACTATTGAAAAGTCCAAATAGTCAGTAACTTGTCACTGTCACTCTCAGTGACAGTTCTGTGCCACTCATGTTTCATTGTCTATAGGTGGCTAGTTAGCAGTGAAAGTTATAAAAATATGTCGATACCGCACATCTCACCGATACCGCACCGACATGGGCTGTTCGGTATGTGAAATTGGCGTTTGTCAAGTGCGATTTGTTGATGTTTGCAAGTTTTGCAACAATGTAAACGTCTCGATTGATCTAGATGCTTTTCCAAAAAGGTGTTGTAGTGTGTTCATTGAGAAATCAGCAAGTAGAAACATAACAATTATTTATTTTCAATTAAAACATTCGACTTCACTTCAGCCTAATAATAACTCATCAAATCTTATCATAAATAATCTAATTGAACTCAAAACCTCATCTCAATAAAAAAATATGAATTTCATACTATCACAATTTTAAGATAAAATGAATCGAAAAGTGGTGGATACATTAAATATCACCATTTTAAGAAATTATCCCACCAAAATGTATTCCCAGCAAGCTAAGAAGGACATGGAGGAATCAACAATGCTGTTTCCCACACCATGAGATATAAAAAAGATAATATGCATAAACCCAAGCCTCCAGAATTGTATGGATTAATCAAACTCCACAAAGAAGGACATCCAGCCAGACCCGTGGTATCATATATAGATGTCCCAACCAGTAGGTTGTCAACATTTTTAAATTCAAGATTCAGAGACCTCACAAAATTTAATCCATCAAACACAGTTCTGAATTCAGTAGACCTAGCTGACAAAATATCAAATCTGAATATCAAAAATAATATCAAACTAGTATCGTTTGACATAAAAAACATGTTTCCTCACATCCCAACAGACAAATGTCTTCCCCTCGTGAAATACATTTGGATAAGAGTAATTCAAATCTATATATACCTAGTTACCGAATTTTGCAATCTCCTTGGTACATGTCTGAAACAAAATTTCTTCAAACATAATAATAATTTCTACTTGCCAAACTCAGGTCTCCCTATGGGCTCACCATCAAGTCCCATTCTGGCAGACATTTTCATGGACACACTGGAAAACACCCGCATCCTTAATACTCTCTTGCACAGAAACACATCGTGTTTTGGTTCAGATATGTTGATGACGTAATGGTTGGTTTTGATGGTTCGAACAGACAAATTAATCAATTTTTAAACTTTCTCAATAGTCTGCATAACAAAATTAAGTTCACAGTAGAAATCGAACAAAACAAGGAGTTCAACTTCTTAGATTTGAATATTTCAAGAGTTAATGATGGTTTACAAATCAATATCTACCGGAAAAACACGTTCATGGACTATACAATTCCCTTTGACTCTTTCAGTCAGCTCTCACATAAGTTATCCGCGTTTAGGTCAATGATACACAAAGCTTTCGCAATCCCTTTACCGAAAAATAATTTCCAAGATGAAATAAAAATAATTAAGCAAATTGCAGTGAACAATCAGGTACCAGTTTCCCTAATAGAAAAGATAATATCAGGTGAAGCTCACAAAATCTGCAATGTACGAACATCATCATGAATTTAACCACAAAATCCTACATATATGTAATAAAGGGAGAAAAATGAATCTGTTGTGTTCCATGAAAATTGACAAATCAATTAAAAATCAGAAAAATATACCCCAAAACGAGCAACTTGATTTATGTAGGTCTCCTCTCTTGAATTTATGAGTTTAACAACCCTTAGAATTTTCATGGCATCCTGTCTCTCTAGTACCCGTCCTTGCAGCATACCTAAAAATTTTAATAAAATCGATATTTCAAAATTCAGATTTCAGTTATATACTTGATAATGGGATCAAACCCGAAACCGGTCGTATACATTTTTCCAGTGGTATTTAGACGAAAGTGTTTTTATTCAATCCATTTGAATTATTATAGTCATTTTTTAAACAATTATTCATTCAATGAATCGTAGTATGATAGATGATATTGAAAAATTGTGGGAATTCTGTTTCCATCTACAGAAAAATCGTATTGCAATCAACTCTTTCTGACATGTTTGGAAATCTTATCAGATTCGTCTTCTTTCTCTCTGCAAAAAATTAACAACTCAGTATAGATTTCAAGTTGGCACATTAATGCAAGCCTTCCATTGTTGATTCGAATTTCATGTTATTCTAAAATGGAAAAAAAACATATATTGTGATTGCCAGATACTTAATAAATATCCATGTTAGGTGAAAATTTCACAATGGAGTATTTTTAAATCACGTAAAATATTTTTTTCTATTCGTTAATGTTTATTATCAAAAGAATCATGGAATGCAAATCAATCAATGGAGTTTAGCTTATTAAAAGAGAGAAGGAACAAAAATATTAGTATCTTTTTAGACCTTTCTCAGGTATTTGGTACCATTGATCATCAGCTACCTCTTGAAACATTTCATGATGTTAGTATTTCTGACTCGGGTTAGAACTGGATTGAATCGTTTTCGTTAAAAAGAATGCAGATAATTTGCAATCGGGTATCTTGTTACGCTATGACAGGTGTACCACAGGGTAGTACATTGGTATTGACGTTTGCCCTATTTTCAAATGAACATTTGAATATAAATCTGAAAAAAGTCACCATACAATGTTTACCTTCGGATACAAATACCTTTTTTTTTTCTCGATATGAGAATTGAATAGGAGTATTTTAGTCAAAACTAATGGAAAAACAAATGAATAAAAAAGTCTGTTACTGATTCACAGTTGAAATATTTCAGAAATTAAACATCGGGTACCAATCAAAACATAAAAAAATCATTTGAAAAAATTACAAATCTGAACGTTGTTAAAATCAATGTGAAAAAATTGATATGCAAAACTATCTCCTACTCTCTGAGGAAATATTTCCGAAACAACTACTTTCACATGAAATTGAATTGAACTAGGAAAAAAGTTCTTTTGAAGCAACTATTTTCATATGAATATGGAATCACACGTGAATCAGTAGAATGTAAAGCATAGCGTACCAAGAATAGATCCTCAAGGGACTCTTGAGGATTCTTTTATGTCGCACACTTATTTTGCAGTTTCTGTCTTGGATGGAGAATGTTCAACACTAATAATTCGGATCAAAATTTCATTGGGCCCTGTCTCACGTATATGTACTACGAAGATTTCGCCTCATTTCATACAAATTCAATGAACATTATGAAAGTATTTATCTAATCATCTGCACTTCCTAATCAATTCCACTGCAGTTTTCAACTGTATTCCAAATTGAACATTTATTGTCTTTCAAAACTGTTTCACTTTCTAGAAACAATCGTCTTTGCTCAAAAGTTCGATGACCCAGCTAGCGAGCGCAATCACCAATTAATGAAATGCTTTGTGTATCATCCTGTCAACAGCCCCCATTAGCCAACTGATAGGAATGTCTGTTGTCTTTTTCAGATCACAATTTCGTGGAAGAGGGCTCGATTAGTCGCTCACACTTGGTGACTTAGTATCAGAGCAGATACCAGAGAGGAACGAAAGTTATATTAATAATTATTTCGGCTACCCGGGTCGGCAGAATGCCGAATCTCCTGCGGACGGCTGGACTCGATAACTAAAAAATTCTCTGGCGAAAACTCCTCAATATAGAATGGAAGTCAGTTGGTACTACGCAATTTTGACGACGATTGCTTTTCTCGTCGGTTTAGCGGGAAACATCGCAGCTCTCTGGATCCTCTTCAGGACGGCCAAACGAAGAAACAAAAAGCACTTGTTCATGTTGAGATGCTTAGCTTCCAACGATCTGACCGCGCAAGTGGGTATGCTGTTGCTGATCACTTTGAAGAGAGTACACGTTCTACCAGAATATTTGGCTTGCGCAGGTTTCGTATTTGTTAGAGCTTTCGGCCTCGGTTCGGGATGTGTTGCTTTCGTCATGGCCCTTGAGAGATGGTTGGCTCTTACCAGGCCCTTCTTGTATCATCAGGTATGTTCATTTTCATCTGAACTTCCATTTTATAAAAAAGTGTGGAAAGATTTTGAATCTATAAAAAAAACAGAATAATATATTAACATTACTAAAAGTAACCGTATCGAAAAATTCGGATATTTTTTGAAACATGAAGTCAAAAATGGAAAAACTGATAGGTGATTAATAATAAATGAAAAAATGTAAGAACGCTAATTTGTGAAGAAAATGATTTATTGTGACCTGTAATGAAAATGAATCCATAAATGGCAATCAAAAATTCAATTGTTATTGACCCGTTACTTAATAAACATCAATGAAACTGTTCATGACATGATAATAATTACACAATTTTGTGTAATGTTTGAGAAAATTGTGTGATTATCATCATGGATAGATAGAAGCTCCAAATCTGGTTGAGATACATTGACGACAATCCTATACTATGGAACCATGAGGATACGAAACTGGACACATTTTGCAACACCTCCATTCACAATAGAGAAAAATTACATAATGAATAACCACTTTTAGATGTTGTGATGAAGTGAACCGATAACAAGTGGTAAACAGCTGTATACTGAAAACCTACTCAGATGAATCCAAGCATCACTAATCTACCAAATGAGCAGTCGTCAAGACCTTGGATCGTGCATTCAAGTTTTGTAAGACGAAAGAATGTTTTGCCAATTAACTAAGCCACATCAGAAAAAATCTTCAATATAATAGTTATTCCAAAAATCTGAATCTATCGGAGTGAATAAGAACTTGATTTGAGACCAACATTAAAACCTGCTTCAGAACTGGGAAGCGACGTCACCAAAACGAAACCGTCAAAATCAGAGAGTGATTCCAAAAATTGTATTCACCGGATAGCATGTGAGTAAGGCAAGTCTTATATCGATGAAACTAAGAGGTCGTATACAGTCTGTATTAGCGAGCCAAAGAGAAATACCTAGCGAGGAGAAACCTGCCAATCGGAAATAGCAGAACATGTTTGAATTCACCAATATAACATCAACAGGATCAAAGCTGAAATCCTCAGTGTGGAACAGTAGTATGAGAGGATCTTGAAGGAACTGCGTACGTATTGAACAATGAGTCATTCAACTAGGATACTATGGAGATAGTGAAGTTAAATATATCAAGTCTTCATTCAGAAAGTGCTTTACAGTTGAACTAAATATTTTATTCACTGAAGCTTTACCTTTTCATTTCCCAAGTACCTCCATGAAAATCTCCGATCAAACGGTCGACGTTGCACTGAAATCGAGAGAAGAGAGTAGAAGTGAAAGTAATCAAATGACTTGTTGTCTGGAGTATCAAAAATAGGTCAGTTATCATCCAGAAAGGATTGTGGATACTTACACTTGAAACATCGCGAAATTACTTCTTTTAATAATTTCTTTGCATTTTTATGATTCATCTTCATTATTTAATTTCAATTAATTTCTTTCATCTTTGTTGTTAACGTATCATTACCTTTTTACTCAATGTTTGCCCATTTATCGATTCATTCACAAATTAGCTATCTTTCAATTTTTTCAACTAATTTTTCATTCATTCATTTCTGTTTCAATTAACTCATTCGAATATTTCGGTCCTGGTATGTATGCTATTTTTTATATTTTATTGAGTGTTTCCTTTTCATAGATTTGAAATCTGTTAACACTTTTGTAAGACACTGAAAACCCGAACCGACATTCACCAAGATACATTTTCCACTACTGTTTCTATACTAGTTAAACTGGCAACGTTATGCCAACTTCGACAAACGGCGATCACAACAATAATAACCTAGAATGCTAACCTTGAACCTAGAAATTATTATTATAATCATACAGCGTTACTAGTGATTGTAGCATATTGTAAAATTTTTTCAATTATATTCAATTAATATTATCGAAGGTGCTACAATGAACATTTCGATACATCGAGCCGGACATTTCAAGACGTCGAAAGGCAGTTCTCCGGAGGAGACAAATTCAATTAGCATGGAATTGAAATTTCTGATTGATTCGGCCGTTACTTGGTAAAGGTCCATAGTAATTTTATAAACTACACCTTACGATTTGATCTACACAAACTTTATTTTAATAAAATATATCACGATATGTTTCGCTATAACAGTAGCTTTTTCGTATTAAATGACATGCTGAAAGTTCATTCTATTTCAGTCTATAATTTTTATATACCTCACGTAATCATAAGTGAGAGATACCTACCTAGGTAATTCTTCGATCATAATTACCTAAAGCATCTACTCAACTTCTATACCCAAGGTACATAAAAATATTGAGTTGCACCTTGGAGCAAATAAACTGAAACTTAATATCGCTAAAACTAAAGCGATGATCATTACAACAAAGTACAAACAAAATAAAATTGGGAGAAATACAGGCAAAATTTAAATGAACGAAAATGATGGAGAAATGGTGAGTGACATGAAGTATCTAGGGTTTATTGTAGATAACACAATTTCACCAAATGATTATGTAATGAGTGAAATATCTTTATTATCAATGTTATATCGTGAGTAGGACGATCTCACCGGTATCAGATTACCAAGATAACGACTTTCAAGACTTTGAGTCAGCAGAGTCAGCAGAACCTGATACTTTTGTTATTTCCCATCGTCTCCTGCTGACACCGCTGTCTACACATTATAAATGGACCCTGGTCAAATCATTGTCAGAACTAATTTAGAATTCGTTTAGTATCAACTTAGATTCTGTTCCATTTCTCATTGTAGTTTTTGTAACGATATTTTTTGTTGTTATTCAAAGAAAGTCTGTAATTGAAAATAAAGTGTTTTTAAAAAGTCATATTCAAAAGAGTGAATATAACAATTGGCGCAGTCGTTGTAGGATCTGACAACGTTGCTAGAACAAGGAAACCCTAACTAGTAGCGGCGGATTCTAATCCCTCAACAGAGAAAGAACCAACAACCCCTGAGGAGTCATCACTCGAGGAAGCAGCGGAAGGAACACCTGGTGAAGCCCCTGGCTGGACGACTTCGAGAACACGACGAATCGGAATGAAGATTGTAATACTGTAAGTCGATATTGAATTGTCTCGATTTATTTTGCAATCTATTTATCATCACTTCAATTCTTTTCAAAATCAATAATCATACTGATTGATTATTGTAAATAGTGAATAAGTACTGTTCAATCATTCAAATTTTGACACCAAAAACTTGTTAAGATAAATCAAAATGCCTCAAAACCAACCAGAACCAGAAGCAATCGAACCATACAAGTTATCGGAAATATTTTCAATAGTGCCTGAATTCGAAGGTGATCAAATGTTTTTGAACACTTTCTTAAATGCTTGTGATTGTGCATATCGCATGTCAACAGCAGACCAACGCGATCTATTAGTGATTCACATCAAAAACAAACTCAGAGGCAGAGCAGCACAATTGATAAGTTCAAAGAATCCTGGAACTTATCCCGAAATTAAACATTTATTAAATCTATATTTTGAAGACTCTAGAAATCTAACATAATTGATTCACGATCTCCAGCGTATCAAACAACTTCCAAATGAAACACCTTTATTATTTTTCAATCGCCTTCAAGTCCACAATGCCAAAATGCACGCATGTGTACAAAAATCCTTCCTTTCTGCGGAACAGAAACACGCGCAATCCGTACTAATTGAAACAATGGCATTAAACACGCTTTTAACCGGACTAGAACCGCGAATAGGTCTAGTAATTCGTGCCTCAAATCCGGCAGACCTACTTGAAGCCCATGTTAGAATTAGGAGAGAAATGCAACTATCCTATTTCGAACATCAAAAAAATGAAAGACCAAACCAAACACGTCCTCAACAAACAATCAGACGAAACCCCCAACCGATATCCCAAAGAACCTGTCACAATTGTGGTCAGATAGGTCACATTTCCACAGAATGTCGAATGAGGCAACAAAGACCCCAAAATAATTATCAATATTCCAACCAAAAGTTTGCGAGACCGAACCCTCAACCCAACCAAAATTTTTCGAGTCAAACAAACCAGAAGTCCAATCCCAAATTCAGTCCCTGAATATACAAGACTTCAACCCGAACGTGAACTTCCCGGAACAAATTTTCATGTAAGCCCTATGCTTTCTATGAATTCGAAGAATCTGTACTACATCAAAGACTCTTCCAATACTTTTAAAATCCTCATCGACACAGGTGCAGGAATATCCATTTTCAAACCCAAAACATGCGAAAAATACCCCCTTAGATTCCTTGAAAACGTCACTATACAAGGTATCACTGACCAGAAAATTGTCGTGAATCAATCTACTCTAATAAATTTCACACAAAACGATCCATACAAAGTCTTTATCTACGACTTAGACATCGACTTTGACGGTTTACTCGGATCTTACTTTCTCGAACATTACAATTGTATAATTGACCTGAAAAATAAACAACTTATAACAAACTTTAAAACGGTCCCTTTGTTCAAAGTTTCAGACATAAATGACCATATACACAAGATGTCGAGCTAACCACGAGTTTGAATGAAAACACTTTTTCTTAATAAAAGTTGCTGCAAAGCACCAACTTTTCTTTGATAAGGGGAGTTGTTATATCGTGAGTAGGACGATCTCACCGGTATCAGATTACCAAGATAACGACTTTCAAGATTTTGAGTCAGCAGAGTCAGCAGAACCTGATACTTTTGTTATTTCCCATCGTCTCCTGCTGACATTCTGATTTTTTATGTATTACGTGTAGATGAAGTACATTAATTATGTTTATATTAGGCTTGCCTATCAGGAAATTAAGTTCTTCTCTCTAAGAATACAAGTTCAGTAATGGTGATCTATTCAAATTCAACTGGTCATTCAGTGAAATGTTTATTTTTTCAGTCTATTAATTTCCATTGCTTTCAAATAATTATGCTTTAAACCTTTATTTTTGATGTGTAAAATTTTAAAATCTCCGTTGAAGATATGATTTTCTTCACGTAGCTCATACGATGTTCTTGGATGCGATTCCTAAATGTTCTGCCA